TGCCAGGGAGGACATGTGCTCATTGAGCACACTTTCGCGGTGTCTCCAGAGCGGACGCTCCATTACCGAGTGCAAACATCCATGACGCAGGTAGAAAGCAACACCTGAAAAGGAGCGGCAGCTTAGCGCCATCCGAGAGCGCGGCCCACAGCGGGGGCGTGCGTCGCGTCCCCCAAACTGCTTCGGGTAGCGTGGGCAAGGACTTCACGTTCCCCCACTGCTGCAGGACCCGCTTCCCCGGGGCGGAGTAGCCGTGCACAAAGGGAACTGACGATCCAAACCTCATGCCGTGTAGAAGCAGCAAGAAGCCCTGCTCAAAGGGGCCCTGGCCCCAGGTTCGGACGCCTCGCACTCTCGAAACCGGGGAGCCCTCGAAGTTGATGCCGCCGGTCAGGTTCGAAAGGCCTTTTACTTGTCAGGGAAGAAGATAACCAGCCCTCCCGCCACGGGGTGCGAGCCCCCTCCGGGATATGCGCATCTGGCGAGCAGGCCCACGGCGAAGCGGGCCGCTCCACTGTGCCCTGTGCCTCCTGCTCAGAGGCAGGGCAAAGCTTCTCAACTGCCATGGTGCCCAGCTGATAAAGGGGGTGCGGCTGTAGGAAGAGCATCTAGGACAGCGAAGCGACGTAACTCTTCCATTTCCCACTTGGCCGTGAACAGCGTGTCATGGTCAAGCAAGGCGAGTGTGGCATCAGGCACGAGGGCGCGCAACACTGCCAGGATCTCTGGCCCGGCCAGGTGTAATTGAGGGCTTTCAGGCCTGCCTCAACAGTGGGGCCCATCCACTGAATGCGAGCCGCCAGATGAGCGGAAGAAAAGGGGGAAGTGAGGAATGCGCAGCAGAGGCCTGTTGTCGGTGACCAACAACAGCACATTAGCTTTTGCCTGTTGGGCTGCAAGCAACTGCGCGGTTGCAGGTGAGCAAGAAGTGCGACACAGTCCACATGACGGTGCAAGCCAGCCGGCGGGCTGGCGGTTTCCGAAAACCGTGACCCCTGGTGGCGGCAGGGGGAAGACACTCTCCGGTGTGCGCATGCACAGGAGAAGATTGCTCCAACAGCAGGAACTCCACCGGCGGTGTCCCTGTTTTTCCTCTAAGTCCATGCGTCTCATGAGAGCAGCTATCAACTGCTGGTTCTGTTGAGTAGCCTGTCCTTGCTGACGCAAGAGCTCCAGTGTAGACTGGTTCTGCTGACGTAGCATCTCCAACACGATGGCCTAGAAACCACTCTCGGCTCCTCCACCGCTGGCTGCAGGCAACGGTACTCCTGCCTGACTTCCCGCCGGTGAAGCCTGTGCTTGAGCTGGAGTTGCCGGAGGTGACTCAAAGGGGTTGGGTGCTTCCTGAGGTTGCGAAGCAGCAAAGCCTCTTCCTCCGGGCTTACGTCCGGTACTGGCACCTGAGAAGGGTCCGGAGCTTGGGCGGCCATGGTCTCTACTGGAACGTCCACAGACGCTCCGCTACCATGTGAAAAACGCAGAGCTCTTTTTCACTCCACGCTTGAGCCAAAACACCAGAGGTGTTCGGCAAGTCTCTCGCAGAGTCAGCGCAGCTTCACTTTCGTGAGTTCCATCTCAACTTTGTTAAACAAAGGAGGAACACACGCAAACGTCCTAGTGCTTCTCAGGACTTCCGTGCTTCAGCAAAACAAACACAAACACTCCAGCGCACAGCCATTCTGCTCGAACCTAGTACGACGACACGAGCGAAGCGAGGGTCGGCGGTCAAGGTCTGAAGAGCAAACTCAGAGCAACACGCACTTCTTCAAGGATGCTCTAAAGCATCTCCAGCGCCTCTCTGCTCATCATGCACACTTCAAGCAACTCAAAACAAGCTTAAAGCAAGCTCAGGCCATGCCATGCAAATGTCTGTTCTTCCCAAAGCAAGCAACAGGTTTCAAACGTAGTTTCACACTCATGCAGAGCAAACTCAAGGTTCATCCCACATGTGCAAGACATCATATCAACTGTAAGGGCACTCACAAGGAAGTCAAAAACTTTCACATAAACTCGCCATCCCAGGAGCTGGGCATCATTCATATCGTCTCTGGCGGCAAGCTTCTCTGCTTGGAGACATTCTCCACAGGCCTTTGAAGTCTTCGGTATCTCTCGACCGAAGTTGCAGTGAGACGTTCTTGAGCTCGGTAGCAAGTTCCGAGAAGGCGGCTCCTGCTCTGCCAAGCCCATAATCTAAGCCAGCGGAGTCTCGTGGCGATTAGTCTTGCACCGTTGTGCGTCCTAAGTCTCACTCAAACCCCTCATGCACCCAAGTCAAACTTATGTATTTTCAGCTTTTAGTCTTCTCCGGCCACTGACAACACAACCGTGCAGTAGCGGGAGTCTGTGTGCTGCGCCAAACAAGATAGCAGGGGTGAGGACGGACGAGCATGTCTTAGCGCACCTAGCAAGCCGCCGAGAGACAAAGGAGTGCTGGCGCTTTTGCCATAAGCATACGGGACTCAGGACAAGTAGTGTAGGCGTGCTGTGCCAAACATGAGCTGCCGCTATTGATGTAGGCCCCCCCCAATAAAAAATTTCACCTCTATCTATCTATCTGTCAAACCCCCCCACCTTCCGAACCCATCCTCCTATCTCTCTAACCTCTATCCCCCCCCATTCCCCCAGGAGATAGAGGTTTAGCCGGCGTAACGTCCTGAGTCGCGCACGCCCCATCGCTTCCCTAGTGGGTTTGGAGGGGGATTCACTGCGTAGAGTGCTGTGTACAGATTCTGCGTCGACATGCTCAATTGAAATTCAATATCCTGCTCCTTTTCCTGTGCCCATGAACCTTGTTTGCCTTGGGAATTTAAACACGCGCATTATTCAGTGGTTAGGCTACTTCACGTGACTCTGCCGCCTATGGCAACCGCGGTCTTTCTGGAGACAACTGCTGCTCAAGCCCCCCGTAGCAACAAGGTAGCTGCTAACCGTTGATGCAATGGCCCTCTGCCTCGACTTGGCGCCTGAGCAACCCCTGAGCAACTGAGGAAACTTCGTGGCTCGCCTCTTGTTGGTCCACCTGACCTCTTCTCATACGAGAATAAAACTGGAGTACTGGATTCTGACATTGCTCTTAACATTTTTAAAACGGCTGGATTGATTAAAGTGGCAGCCCACATTGGAGCCAACAATGCCTCGAGGCTGTTAATACGCGCTGCTTCCCACTTCATTAAAAGGGACTCATTGTCCACCTCCGAGAAGCTGAGGGACGCTGCTTCCTCTCCTAGGAGCAATGGGGGCTACAATCTCTTCGCACCTTGGGCTCTGTCTGTCCCTGCTGGCGCAATCTGCTTGCGGCACACATAAGAGGGCAAAGCATTATTATGCTCCCCGTCACACTCCATGCCTCCTGCAGAATTGCCGCTACCTCGATGAGTAACTGAGAGCGATGGCGCGGCCAAGTACCTCACGCACCTCTTGGGTGATGCCAAACTGCTGGCCCCACCGAAACGAGGACCGGCGCCGCGCGTCGACGCACCCTTTGAACACAAGGCTGGCATTGAGCAAGCCCCGCAAGGCCTACGCCTCGTTCGAGTACGGGCAAGTGAAGCCACATTGGAGACAGCAATTGAGGCAGACTCCCCGGGCAACAGCCCTGTGCCCGCGGGGGTCCAGAGAGTGTCAGACTGCTCCACAGTGCAGGGGGGGGCGACCTTCTAGGTTCACCTTGTTTCAGTGCAAAATAGGCGAGTACGCTTTGTTACTCGTCCACTCCCAGGCCACACTGCATCTGCTCCCACCTTTTCACCCAGCAACCCAAACAACCACATAGATCCCAACACTAAGAAACACATCCAACCACAGCAACCCAACTACATCGATCCACAGCTGAATTTGCCTTTCAGAGAGCAGATGCCTCCAGCTTGTCAGACTCAGTCCACATAAAGTACACACAGTGAGACTCCAGCAGCCTCTCTGCAGACTCTATGACTCCTGTCCTGCACACCACAGCACCCAACAACCACATCGATCCAAAAACTGTGAAGAGCTGCACCGAAAACCACCACCACATAGATCCACAAGATATGCACACCCAGGTCGAGTCACTGTCTGGCTACGTGCAGAGATGCAATCACAAATTCGTCTCTGGTGCAGGCAGTTACCAGAACACATACACACATACGTCAAACGTAAGAACACGGTCACCATAAACAAAGCCACATTGAGTTGCAAAGCAGTCCCTTAAAGAACGAATTACGAATTCAAGCACCATTCCCAAATTCTAAATTACTGTGCACAAAATGCAAATTACCACTTGTACATGCAACACGAATTACAAATTAGTCCCGTCAGGCGACACACATCTTCACTTCTCAACTCAGTACACAAACTCGAAACCAGGAGAAAACCACGCAAAGGCCTATCTTTCTTGCAGGTAGAGTCCCCCGTCAGTCACCACTCTCCATTCAATGTGCTTAGGCAGCAGCTCGCCCTCATTCTGGATTGGTGGGAGCTGGTTGGGGTTGGACAGGGCCACTTTCCAGGAAGAAGGTCCCAAACGGTTGGACAGGGCCATTTTCCAGGAAAAAGGTCCCAAAACATGCCATCATCGAGCCTGTTCTCGCATGTATTCAAAGGCAGTGGGCCTCCAGTGGCAACTCGGCCGTACCAGGTTTTCACGGTCCAGAATGCCCAGAGGAGCTCCATAAACACATGTCCAGAGGTAGCCAGAGTCTGCCTCCTCTACCTTACTCAGACATCCAGGGGCTCCTCGGCCAATTCCAGCGAGACTTCATACTGCTCCAGCACCGGCTTTCATAGGTTGCACGAAAGCATTGTCCAGGGGAGCATTGTTCGTATCCCACGCGCAGTCCAAAAGAACACTGGGCAGCATGTTTGGGCTCACTGGGCGAAGCCTCATACTTCTGCAGCATCGGCTCTCAGAGGTTGCACGAAAGCACTGTCCAGGGGAGCATTGTTCGTATCCAAAGCACAGTCCAAAGAACACTGGGCAGCATGTTCGGGCTCGCTGGTTGCCATGGCATTGGACTAGTGTTCACTCATTCAACCATCCGAACTAGGCCATCAGTTGCCTCCCGGCTCAAGCACGACTCGCAAGATTTCGCCACTTCCTCGTGCCACTGGTTGCCCATGTAGTGGTTGGGCAAGTTGAATCGGTCGCACCATCTGTCCTGCCTGTCCCCAGTTGTGCCCAGGATCACCTCCAATGGGGGGGCGAGCGTACAGAACCCTAGAGCCCATCCGCTCCTGAATATCGGTGACCTGTTCAAGCACAGTGCTGAACTTGACTTAGTTGGTTCGGTGGCTTTCCTCCAGTCGCTGCATTGCGGCATCCAGCTTCTCCAGGGTTTGGGTGTGGACCTCCTGCTCGTTGTTGTAGTGCCCCATGTCGTTCTCCAGTTTGCGAAGGACATGCGAATGGCCATCCAGCTTCTGGTTAAGCTCATCCAGGGTCTGGACTTGCCCATCCTTTTTTGGGTGATGGCGTCCAGCTGCCTTTTGCTCTCTTCGCATGTGGCTTTCAGGGCATCGATGGTCTGCTGGATGTACTCCCGTGTTTGCTTGGCCGAGCGAAGCAGGCTGCAGCAGTTTTTGACCCCTTCATTGATGTGACCATGGTTTTCCTTGGCCTCTTGGGTCAGGCCAGCTTGCATCTTGTCCAGGTAGGTCTTGAGGTTGGCAGGTAGGGGCATCCCAACTATGGCTTGCTGCACACCTTTCATGATGTCCTCAAGCTTCGGCGGTGCAGCGAGGCCATCCAGCACCTGCTTGACCCCCTGGATCGTCACATGCTGCGTCTTCATCATGTCAGCCAAGTTTTTGAGTACATCATCCATCTGTTTGAAACTTTGTTCATTGCCTTTCTTGAGCTCTGACCAAAGGCTGCCAATGTACTTGTACAGGCTTTCCAGTTTTTCCATCATAGGGGCTGTCCATCCTAGATGTTGGTCAGGCCCCAAGGGAACTGGTCGGGCTTCCTCCTTTGTGGCTTTTCTGTTACAGCAGCCAGGACGGCGGCTGCAACAGGCCAAGCATCGAAGCCAAAAGACCTTCAGGACGCTCCAGAATGCTTTGCACAAGACAGGCCCACACATAAAGAGCAACATGACGAGCAAGGCTATCGTGGAGGTTGTGGCCAGCAGCCATGCAGTTTGGGTCTCCGTCATGTTGTTCCACCGAGCTTGGTCCCAGGCAGTCATGTCAGGTCCGCCAGGCACATCCATGGCAACGGACACTAGGTTCGGCTACGATAGGTTGCTACAGAGGCCTTGGGGCGCAGCAGCTGTCGGGAGATTCCACTTAAGGGTTGGAGGTCAGCACAGCACATTTATGGGTTGCCCTGCCCCCCCCCCCCCCCCTTCCCTCCAGCTACGCTTGCATACTGCAGCACCAGTGTACGCAACCTACGCTCTCACATTCCTAGGCGTGTGTGTCACTACCATCTCCAGACATGTGGCGCAGGCGCTCCTTCAGTGCAAACATAGGCTTTGCGGAAGTTTTGGGTTTGAAACACTCTATGCTGGTGACTAAGGCCCGCGCCCAGCTTCGCAAATTTATCTGCTAGTTCATTGAGGGCTATACCCTGGTGGGCTGGTACATGCAGCAAGTCGACTCGGTGCCCTACCTCCAACCAGAGTTGTTGGGCGTGTGCCACTTCCGACGCATTAAGGGCGGTGCAATAGACATCTTGCAAGACATGTATGGCAAAGAGCGAATCAGTCCAAAGTTGCACAGGAGCCTCAACACCCGACTTCATCAACTCACGGATCAGCTGCAAGGCATGACAGATGGCTGTGATCTCGGCCCTAAGTTGGTGCTCTGCCCTGGGACTTTCCCATAGCAGACTGTGGCCTGGTCTGATGTCGCATACGGGGCCGCAACCATCACAGCCCAACCTCCCCTGCCTTTGGTGCAACTTCCATCCGTGACAAAGCGAACTGTGTGCACACTGCCGCTTTCAAGATCTTCTACCGAGTCTTCATTCTGCAGAACCTGAAGGCTCGAGGGATACGGCGGTTCAACAGGAACGTGTCTCATCGGGAGCAAGCGAAAAGTCTCCCCCGTCTGTAGTAGCATGCGGCCATGAAGGTCAACATCATGCACATTCTCGTAGTGTCGCAAAGGTTGCAACCCCTTGTCGTGGAGCCACGCTGCAGTGAATTCAATCCAGCCTTGTCGGCCCTGAGCATGAGCTTGCCAGTCCTTGGGTTGATGGGATTGCCGATGTGCCTCCCACGCGAGCTGTACAAGACGTTCCGGATTGGGCCAGAAACCCAAGTTCCGCCTGCACTGACCAGCATGAGTCCACTGCCATTTAGTGGAGAAGATCTGCATGACTAAGTAGAGGGGGGAGCTCAGGTCCCGTCTGGCCGTGTGCCCCCAAAACTTAAAAAGCCTGTGCCTGCACACCAGACCACTTAGCATGTTCACTCAATTGTGCAATCATGCGTGCTGCCCGTCTTTTCGAGATCCAGTTACCGACAGCCCCCAGGAAAACATCATCTCTGAGTCTGCAAATGGAAGTCAACATACTAGTGTGCAGTTTATCCAGAACCGACCTGACTGCTTGTGTGGGTCGCACACATGGTGCCATCCATCTCCACTTAGAGGTTATAAAGGTGTTAAGGAGCTGCAGCCGCTTCCTGATGGGCGACACCGCTCTGGTAAGGATGCTGTAGTAGCCATAAAAGGCATTCGAGGCCCCAGCAAGTCTGTGCGCAATGACATCTACACATGGCACACCAAAGCCCAGGAGCACACCTAGGAAGACAAAGGAGCTGACTTTCGGTATAACCTTAGTGGAGACCGTGATGTCCTTGGTTCAGATACCTACATTTTTCAACGGCTATCTGAAGTCCTATAGTGGACAGCAGTTGTTGGAGTTGCTGCAGCATACGTTGCATTTGTTCATGGCTTTCTGCAAGCAGCACCATGTCATCCGCATACATGACACAGAAGAGTTTAATCCCTTCCGCCACAAGCCACGTGTTTTCCGTGTCTTGCCATGTTTGATACAGGAAACCAACGTGCCAATCCAGGACCCTGCTGAAGAGTTCCGCGCTGTCAGGGCTGCCTTGGAGAAGGCCTTGGTGGAGCTTTTGCTCCCAATCAAGTTGTCCGAAGTGTAGGTTAACTGTGGTAGCCGTGATCATGTTTAGGAGAACCAGAGCTTCCCGCCGACCTCCTAAGGTGGACAGCCAAGCTGCCACCGCTTCATGCCTGAGTGTGTCGAAGGCTTGCGAAATATCAACCTGAAGGGCAATCAAAGGCTTGCCCCATTCCTGGCTGAGTCGCAGTGCATGCTGCACCGCCGCCGCTCCATCAATGCACTGTGACCCACTAATGCCAGACAACTGGAATGCTCTGGGAGGTTTAGCATGTGCACGCATTCTTGTCCACAGGATTTTAGAGAAAAGCTTTCCAACACAGGCAGACAAACAGATTGGTCTCAAGTCCTTGGGTTGTCGGGGCTCTTGAGTCTTCGGAATAAGGGTGATCTGTCCTGTCGTCCACTCCAAAGGGATCGGTCTCCTCTGTTGGAGCACATCATCTAGTTGTTGCACGAAAACCTGTTGCAGGGGGGTTTGCATTAGCACTTGCAGGAGCTCATAGGGCACGCCATCTCTACCAGTGCTTTTGCCATGTTTACAGTTACAGGTGGCAAGTGCAACTTGGACCTCATCAACCGTCAGGGCCTCAGCTTCTTGCAGGGGGCCTGCTCTCTTCAGGAACATAGCTTGTGGAAGTCCCGGGAGGGCAAGGTCCCGGGGAGTGTACTTCCTAGCATAGAAGTTGCGAAGGTCCTTCACGGCTTGGTCCTCACTTCCTACTCCCTGTATATAGGCTCCGTGGCTGGCCTTGACCGACATTTTCTTTTTCAGGAAGCTAATGGCAGCAAAGTCCCCGTTCGCACTCCTGGTGAGAATGTCCTCCATCCACTGTCTCTTATCAGCTGCTCTGTGCTGCACAATTTCATGAGCTAGTCTGCGGGCCTCCGCCCCCGATGCCCGTCGTCGCTGCTGAATGAGGTCTCTAATGACTGCAGAGTCCCGGTAGCGACAACTAGAGCCTCGGAAAGTAGCTGTACACGCCACAGTCTGGAGGTTTCGTTGCAGGTCAAAAGTGGAAGGATCAATTTTGCAGAGTTCCTCAAGGGCCTTGGCGTTGTTGACTCTCCACTTGCCGCACTTATGCTGGGGTCGTTGCCTCCTTCGGGGAGCTGGCTCGACCGATCTGAAGGCCGCAAGCACTGCTCGATGGTCTGTACCAAGGACTGTATCTGAGTCAAGAGCAACTTTGTCATACAGGGTTGCAGGGCTCGGAGTCCGATAGCAGAGAAAGTCGATTTTCGACTGCGCACCTCTTGTGTTGGTCCAGGTTGGAACAGAGGGGTTGGTGCACTGCAGTCCAAGGTCCTGCTGCAACAGAGCCCACATGGCCTTCCTTTCATCCGCCTGGTGATTCGTTGGGTGGTCTGCACTTAATTCGTAATTAGCATCACAACCGAGAATGAGCGTGTCATGAATTCTGACGTTGCATGCAAAAAAGAGTCGAATTTCATGCATCATGGAGTTCCAGACTTGGGTCACATCCTCTCGCTGGGTGTGGGGCAGGTGTGCTGAAAGAAGGAAGTTAGAAACACTGGCATGTTTGAGGTGCACAGCAAGGCCTGCACTAAGGACTTGAACCTTGCGCACTTGATCAACTCGTTCAAGGGGAATGCCTATGGCTTGACCCCTGAAGGAGTCCTTGGGAGAACTGAGGTAAAACATCATGCGTCTGCCCGCTAAGGCCACTTCCTGGGAGATCCAAGGCGCCTTAAGCTCATCGCACCCTCCCACTTCCTGTAGGAAGACGAAGTCCGTTCCTTCAAATCCTAGGACATCCCACACTGTGTCAAGGGCATGGATGGGCTTTCCTCGCAAATTCCAGGAAATGGCATGCAGGGGGGCAGGCTTGTTCCGAGTTTGTCACTCTCGCCTACGCCCTCCCTCGGCACCTCCATACTGCTGCCACATTTCCTGAAGACTCTCCTCTGGGTGGCCCGTGATAGCAGAAAAAACATTGGCTTTCAAGAACCATGCTGTGTGGTTTCCCTTGGCATCAGGCAGGAGCTGATCATAGGGCTGAACATCAACCCCCGTGTCCATGCACCCCAGCGCTTGCCACCTGCCCACGAAGAGTTTGCCTCTCCAGTCAATCTCAGGCTCTTCTCGTATTTTGTGAGGGTCTGCACAGGGAATCGCCTTGTAGAACTCCTTTGACGACACCAGGGCACGGATTTTGGTTCTAGTTTCCGGGCTTCTGTGCCTGGTGACCCACAGTGTGACACCTTCCTGATCCGGCAAGGAGCTCGTCCAGGTATCCTTCTTGAGGGCCTCTATGACAGTGTTCTGGAAGACACGACGCAAACCTATAGGGGCATCAGGGTCGGGGAAGCGGAGCTGAACGCGTACAAAGCTAGCGCGGGCATAGGGAGCTCTCAGAGACAGCCACTTCTCCTCAATGCCAGCCGCTCGGAATAGGCTCTGTAATTTAAGCTCAGCGTCAGCCCTTCTAGCATCCCTCCATCCCCCAATCACTACATCCAGTTCCTCCTCAGCATCCCGCTCCCTGTCCCGTTGCACCGAAGGCGATCGGGGGGGGGACCTCCCATATTGTTGTCTCTGCGATGGTTCGAAGCCCCTCGCTCGGGGAGGGGTCTGACTTCTACGAAGTTCCTGAACCTCTTTTTCAAGTGCAGAGATGCGGGAAATGGACTGCTCATGAAGGTCATTATGTATACTAGCTGTTTTTTCAAGCTGTTCAACTCGGAGGGTCTGGGCCTGGGTGTCAGTCGCCAAATCAAGGAGGTCCTTATGGGAGCGATCCTGTTTGTGATGCAGTTGCTGCAGGGTGCTCTGCAGATTGTTCTGTAAGGCTACAATCCAGGGGGGAGTTTCAGTCCGCAGGGAGTCCAGCCTAAAGGGGCCTGGGGTTCCAGTCGCTGCAGCAAGTGCTGCCTGAGCAGCCCCATCTAGCACAGAGGCATCTTGCAGTGCATCTCATGTTTCAAGGAGCTCTTCTTTGGCTCTGTTCTGGAGGGAGTGTGGGGGGGCATTCCGCATCACTATCCTTCTGGGTATCCGTGAGGTCAAAAATTTCCGGTCCATCCTTCAGGGCAAGCTGATGCATTCCAAAGGCCGGCAACGCTCTCATTCCCTCTCTCTCTGCATCATGACCACCTTTGCTAGTTTCCAGCATTTCAGCATCCACACTCTCTGCGACCACTGCTTCTGTTCTGGGTTTTTTGAGGGCTGCTTCCCTGGCTTTCGGACCTGGCCAGCTGAGGCCAGCGCGCTCGGACTTCTCCCCACAGCAAGTGGCGGGACAGGCTGTTTGTCTCTCTTGCCAGGCTTATTGGGGGTGATCTCTCCGACAACTCTTTGGGCCAGCGTACTGTCTTTGGACATTTCCGGCGCTGAAGAGGTCCTCTCTCTCTCTCTCTCTCTCTCTCTCTCTCTCTCTCTCTCTCTCTCTCTCTCTCTCTCTCTCTCTCTCTCTCTCTCTCTCTCTCTCTCTCTCTCTCTCTCTCTCTCTCTCTCTCTCGCTCTCTCTCTCTCCTCTCTCTCTCTCGCTCTCTCTCTCTCTCTCTCTCTCTCTCTCTCTCTCTCTCTCTCTCTCTCTCTCTCTCTCTCTCTCTCTCCTCTCTCTCTCAGTGCCCAGTTTCCTCGACGAGCTCGACATTTATCTCCAGGCTTCCCGTCAATTTTTGTCTTCCTATCCACCCCCCTCCCCCCTCCCACCCCGTATGGAGGGCAGTCAGCAAGGCAGCAGCAAGGACAGACAGGCGAGAAGACCGGAGAGAGGACAAAGAGGAGTGCAAGGGCAGAGACAAGAGCTTTTGTGCCCCCGGGGAAACGTCTTTTGGGCCGAAATCCGTAGCCATTTTAGGGTTTAGGGTTTAGGGGGTTTTAGGGTTGAGGGTTTAGGGTTTAGGGCTTAGGGTTTACGGGTTAGGGCCCCTGCTGCTGGCAATGCCGATGTCGCTGAAGAGCATCGCGCGATAACAGGAGGCGCCCGAATGTCAATTGTAAAGTTCGAGGCCCTGGATTGAAGGTTCAGGGCATGGGTTTTGCGTGGGATGTAAGTGTTCAGCGTGGAGCTGGATTCATGACCTCGGTAAGCCTTCGGAAGAATTTGACTGGGTTCGTCTCAAACTTGAGGGTTGTCTACAGAGGGTTTGCAGTTTAAGGGTTTTGGGTTTAGAGTTTAGGCGACAATAGGCGATAGCCCTGGACCAACGAAAATCACGACTGGATCAATCCAGTAGAGCTTCAACCGCATCGCTTTTGTTGCGCAAGGCTGTTCTGTCTGGCTGAGACTACTGCAACCCGAAGTAACGAAAATGTGCCATGAGCACATCCTGAGCAACGAAGGAATAAAGTTGGAGGAACAATTCGCGACGCCATCTTCTGCACGCATCCGGTCCAAACAGAGCTTCAGATAATCCAGCTACAGAACATGCTAATGCTGAGTAGGTATCACGGCATGCGCCGTATCAGCGGCGATGCACGATGGCAATCTCACTTCTGGCGCTGCCGAGTCGCTGGGCTCATTGTCGTGAACGCGGTAAATGAGGGAGCCTGCAAGCCACATTTCGCATACCTTTTCCGCTTAAAAAGTTGCAACAAAGTCACCTGCGTGGCGCAGGCTGTAGTCAACGGCCCTCTGCAGCATCACCGTGCGCCTCGCACGCATGTGTGTCCAACTTGTCAGAAACCTGAACAAAATGCAGCAAATTGCTGCATACATGTCTCAGACTGGTGCACGGCCGTCAGCAATGCAGCTCGCCGCCCTGAGCAACTGCCACGCGTCGAAACTAGCTTGCCCACACTGGCCCACACGCGCACCTATGCCGAGCCGTCGAAGCAAAGCAGCGTCGCCGGGCCCATCAAGAGCCCTTCCAAGTAATATCTCACCGACAATCCACGCAATGCAAACATGACCAAAGGCAAGATACTGCTTGAGTTTGCACCACAAGGACCAATCCTGGAAGCCTGTCTGAACGAAAGTGGCAGACCTGTAAGTGGGCCAGCTCGGCGTCTCAATCTTCCCTTGAGAAAAGCAAGCCGAGCACTCTGGAATTCCTGAGCCGTTCCTTTCCTGATTCAACGATTCATCGCTGTCCCTTTACAGCATCAGCGTCCTCAACTTGTGGCCGGCCAAAGTTTGGAGTTTAGAATGTTGCCCTGAAGCTAACAACGGTAGCCCTTCTGAAGGCCCAGAAACACCAAACCCTCGGCCGGAACACTCCAACTCCTCGAAACCTAGGCCCTTGAGTCAAGACTTCAGCCCTGAAGTGCAAAAACCTTTGAGCATATCCTCCGGCGCAGCCTACTCCCCTGAGGTTGCGGTTTTGACGAACCGTATAAAATCAAAGAACACAACACAGTGGCTTGAAGCCACGTTTAAACTCCTTGCCGTAAAGGCTGACCACATGAAGCAGCACAAAGCATCAAAGCGCACCTTGCTGAAGTTGTGGCTTAAGGCTGAGGGTTTCTCGGGGTTTAGAAAGTTTGGGGCTTGGATCCTAAAGAACCTCGGGTCCCTGGGGACGGCAGCTTGAATCTGCACATGGAGTTCGACTGGCCTGATGCACGCTTTCTCCCCTGGTCCGAATGGCTCTTTGGCCTGGTTCGGAGAATGGTGTATTCAAGCAAGCACAAGGTGGAAGCAGCGTGACAGCAAGAGGCCTGGGACCACCCCATCCATGCCACGTAGTCAGCAGATGCCTGATCCAACCAAGATTTCCAATGAAGTGCAAACATGAACAGACGAGGTGTTTTCTTCATGCCTTTGGCAGCGAGGGTATCGCCAAGCCGTGGTCGATGGGAAGAAGCCGCGTCCTCCATTGCATGCTGCCGAAAGGCTGTGAAACTCAGACATGTTGCAGAATCCGTCCTCTTGCAAAGGGCGTTGTTTTCGTGCCTGTCCAAGTTCTGGATTCGGACCTTTGTTGACATAATTGTGCAACTTCACACGAACTGCGCTAATTTGCGTGGAACTGGATCAAGACACTCCTTCCGAAACCAAGCCCGCGTTTCAGGAAGCCCTGCACAGGATGGAACGCAAAATTGAGTTCCGCCTAGTCTACGTTGCAATTCTGGGCTACTTGGTAGGCATAAAGCCTCTCACAACCATGCCCACTCTCAGTACCGCTACCACTCTCACGACCAGGCTCACCACCACCCCCATTCCCACTCTCACTACCACTTCCACTTCAATGCCGCTCTCACTACCACACTCACTACGACTCCCACGCTCACTACCAGTCCCACTACCACTCCCACTCTCTCTGACCCTCTCATTACCACTCTCACTTACTGCCCTGTTTGTGGGCAAACCTTTGCGAGTCAGGCCAGTTTGCACATGCACATTTTGTCCAAGCACGCTGAGCTGAACGTGCAGTCTAAAATGTACAATGCCATCTCATTCACGGAGCAGGTGGTCGTCTTACACTTGGGCAGGTTTCTCCAGGGACACAAGCTCTTCACCACGGTGAGCATCTCCAGTGTTGTGCTGCTAGCGATTCTTGCTGAGAAACACACCTATTACCGGATGTTACTCCGCGCTGGTGGTTTTCGGATGATGCTTCGCTTGCAGCGCCGGCCTCCCCGCCTCTTGGAATAAGTGGAATGGGCACGGCTGGAGTTATCGGCGTCAGGATCGCTCAGACAACGAGCAGGCTGACATGCGGCACCTTCTGCTTCAAGTTCAAAGGCTTATTCCTAGGAACGAAGACAGCCAAAACATCTTGAAGAGTGAGCTGGCATACGTGATGGTTCTGAGATGACACATCCACTGCTCAGTGGCAGGGTCCCTGAATCAGGCACGGAGGCGGTGGCAGGAGCCGGAAGTCAGGGATGCCAGCTCGCCAACGCGGCCAATGCGTGTAACCTTGCTTACACGTTTGTTCACCGAACTGAAGCTGCGAGTGGAGGAATTGCAGACTCAGGGTGAGCATCAGCAAGTGGTCACGCAGAGGCTAGTGAAGTTAGGATGGTTGGTGCTTGAGCCCACTGCTCTGGACCCAGCGAGCCGGATATGACCCGCGATCTGGCAGCGGTGCTCTGAATTGGAGGCCAGTTTGGTATTGCTTAAGGTGGAAGGCACGGTGACCAGGCTCCCACCAGGCCTTTGACATCAAACATGGCCGGCGAATCCTTGACGTACTGCCTGCAGATGGGAATGATGGCTGAGGAAAGCCGCCGTCTTCAGGAGCACATCGTGCGCCTTTGCAGGCTTGCAGTCGCGCAGCTCATTGGCATGAACATTAGTCCGGAGCGCATGGGTCGGTCACAGCTTGCGCAGATGATCTCGCGCGCATTGGGCTGGACTTTAGTTTGGGTGTCTAGGTTTTGTGGCCACTTCTCCAACTCGTTGACAAAGTGGTGGGAGATTGCATGTTTTGCTTAGGGGAGGGCCTGCTGAAACGCGGCCAATCCGCGGAGCTGGCTTCGTGTACCAGCCGCATGTTGCCACATAGGGCGTTCCGGATGCCAGCAGCCACCACTCGGACGCTTGTGAGTCGGGCGGTATGCATTGACTATGATTCGCAGCATCCCTTGCTTGCTGTGATCAGTTCACTTGTGCCACTTGTTGCCCGGGGCCGTTTCTGTCCGAGCAAATGCTCATGCTCACGTGAAGCGGCGGCCTCATGTACCCATGTACTGTCTTCTGTTTGCTCAGGCTCTCGGTTCACTCTGCTCACTTGTTCTGCTCACGGCGAATGGCCCGACAAGAGTGCTGAAACCTTTGCATCAACCGCTTAGATTTTGGGGTTGCCGGGAGCCCAAAGCAACCCCCCAATCTCGAGCTGAGAAGGGGGCGTTGCCGGGCAGCGAATTTCAAGTCGAGGGCGTGATCATGGTTGCCTGTCACAATCGCAACTCGGACCTTCAGCGTGCTCTTTGGGTGTTTCTGAGGGACCTCGGGTTCTCGTTTCCAGAAACGGCGGTGGGGCTCACACGCGCCCTGCACAGCGTACTGCCGATGACAAACTCGGACAGTGATGAAGCGGGTGAGTCAGAGGATGAGACCGCCGATGAGGGCATTGACGATGACCTGTAACAGAACTTCCTGTAGTCTCTCTGTGGTCGGGTTGGCATCTTTGTAAACATATCCACCTTGTCACCCGCGAGGCGTTACGCCTGAAGCATTGATGAGCTCCTGATTGTACCAAGCGTGCACGAAGCGAATGCATCGTGTGCTCGCTACTTCTCTTTCAACATGTCCATGCTTGGCCCTGAAGGGGCGTTGGATGGCCTTTGACATGGTGTCGCTTGGAGCTTCGGTTCGGGCACCTTTCTTTTAATGGTTCTTCCCCTTTGCTGTCACAGATGGCCGGGCTAAATGCCTGAATAAGGGCGACGCTGGACGTCTTCAGACGTGCGCGAATCGGAACGGAACCACTCCCACTACCACACCCTCACTCTCACTCCCCACTCGCACCCTCACTCTCACTCCCACTCCCACTTCCACTCCCACTCTCACTACCATTTTCACCGCCAGCCCCACCCTCCCTAGCACTCTGCCCGTAAGCAGCATAGACGCAGCGACAAGAACCAATCAACACTCCAACGATCGACAATCTATGGTCGCAGCATCCAGTAATGGTAAACACCTTAGGAAGGTGTTACAAAAACATTTCCAAACGCTCCTGCAATCGATACGGTACTGAGCATGCTGCCGACGACGCGTAACCTTCTGCCGGCTCAGCGTGTACGAACTCTTGAGCCGAGCCTAGTACCCAGTCCTAGCAGTCCTAGCAAGAAGAAAGCACTTGCACGCGAACCCCCTCTGCTTGTCCTACTCGCACCTTCTGCTACTAGTCCTACTAGTCCTTCTATGCTTTCATAAACGCCGTCCTCCGACAGCTCCGGGTGCCTAGCATGCACCTCGCTTCACAGCAGCGCTTTGACGCAACTCTGACCCCACTCAATTCAGACCCTGGGTTCCCCACCAGGATTGTGCAGGGAACACCTGCGTTGAACCCGTGGTCCATGAGGAAGGCCGCGACCTGCTAAAGGATTGTTGAACACCAGCGTGTCTGGTCTGAACCAGAAGATTTGAAGCATTGCCTCTCGGATGACTTCTTCTTCCCGAGGGACCCCTTCCCGGTCCCCGCGGCCAAAATGTTGTTTCTTGAACCTTGGCATGCTGAGCCGAATCAAAGCACTAGCAAGCAGATAGCAGCTAGCAAAGCAGAAGCACCTAGCCCGAGGAGCAAGCACCGCGACTTTCTGGCCATGCTGGCGTACGAGCTTCCTGGCTTTTGCTCTTCGAGCCGTAGCAGAAAAATTAAACGGTGCTTCAACCCACATGCTTGGCCCACGCATCATTCACGCCCTCGCCGATGGGTGTGATCGCCGAGCCACGAAGGCGCACGGCCTCTTGAGCGATTACACGGAAAAGCCCCGACATGAAAATCCAGGTGTCCTCACTCAGCCTCTTGCAAGGCTTGCTGCCAGGAACTCCTCTCCAGGATGCGTGAAATCAGCGGCAAAGCGCCCAGTGTAAATGGCGGTCCTGGACCGTTGCGCAGTCCTGCCAATGTGTCAACTACGATAAGCAAAAGGCACTGCAAACTCGTTTGCTTTTGCTGTTCTAGGTCCTGCAACGTCTCGCGAATTTCCATGCCGAGTTCCATGACCATGCCACCAGTCTTTAAGCAACGATATCACGCGATATCGCAATCTTCCCGAATGCAAAGAATGGGTTTTCATTTCACACGTTGTCAGGCGCCCAAATTCGAACTGTGAAGGTGGCTGCGAAGAAATGCGAGCGCTTGGCCCCAAATATAATAAATTGAGACTGAGAAGCTTGCTTCGAGCTGTATGAGATGTATGGAAGGTACAGTTTCAATCTTCCATTGTCACGCAAGCCTAGGGTGCAGACTTCATCACCTTGCTATGAGGTCAGGCTTGGTCATGGATTCCCTACACCTACACATCCTTGCTGGCTGCGACACTTCTGCTACGTCGCTCAGCGAGTCTGGCTGGACTACCATCGCTGCTTGGTGCCCACCTCTAGACTTCGCTTTGATGTATTCTCAATGTCTTACACACCATGCGAGTCTTCTTCAGAGATATTATATGATGCATGCAAGGGCTACTGCAGATGATGGCCAGTTATGTCAGGATGGCGTGCACTGTCCCCCGCTTGCAATACGTGGATTTGGACGTTTAGGGGGACTACGCTGAGGTTGGTTTCCACTTGTATGAAGCGTTGCCTGGAGCTTGCTTTTCGCAGAGCGAGGTTGCTGCCAAACAGCATGCTAGAGACCATCTCTACTGTTGTGACTCCTATTGTATGGCTTCATCTTACTTTGTAGAATGTCCTGTTGCTATCTGTTGCTTGCATGCACTTTCAAAATGTTACGCTCGGATGTGCTCGAACTTGGAGATCAGCAGAGGAACAAGCCTGGGCCGAATGATCGTTCGTATCAAATGGGGGATGTAAGAACCCTTTGTCGTGGCACAAGCATTGTCACGGAATGAGCGACGGACAGGCAGAACTTCTGCCCGAACAAAATGATAGCACCTGCCAGAACTGCCAAAACCCCAGCTCCTAGTTGTACAAGAAGACCAAACTGGTGACACCACTGACACCACTGCCTGCGTAGGTGGCAAGCTCCCTCAAGCTAACGCCTTACGCAGTAGAGCACATCTTGCGCGTGGCCAATGCAGAACCTCTCTTCACAGTGAACTCTCGAGACGTCGCTGACACTTGCAGACGTCGTGCATCACAATGTGTCAATTCCCACCTGAGCTTTCTGCATGGACGTAGCTTGCGCAGCAGATGCTGGAAAAGCAGCTCAACTGTCATGATCTGGAAAACGGGTGACCTTAAGGCCAGCACAACCACATCTGCAGAGCATTGACGGTACGGTACTGAGCAAGACCTGTGCGATCTCTGTTGGTCCAAGGTGCCGCAGGGCCCACAGAAACATGTCGTCTGCCGTCCTAGAATCACATGGAAACGCCAAGCACACCGGCGATAATTTGAACAAAGAAACCCTAAACGCCTAAACCCTTGCGCAGGAGGAAAGAACCTTTAAGGGTATATAGGATTCAGTGGGATTCAGTGGGCTTCAATGGGATTCACGGTGGAGCCTGAGCAGTCCTGGATTAACAAAGGGGGCTTCGGGGCTCTTGCAAGCGCAGATCGGAAGCACCCATTGACTTCCAACATCCCCACTTCAAGCTCGAATTTTGACCGGCACCTTCGTGCCCTAGACCTTGACCGAACCGGGTAAAGATGTGGACCCGCTTGACATTGCGGCTCTCAGCGTGAGGCAACTTGTCCAAGGCACTCCAGTTTCAGTTGCTTGCAGCGTCTCGCCATGCCGCGCGTCGACGGGGCAGATCCTACAGCTGCCGCCAGAAAGAGGAAGCAAAGAGAGAGGCAGTCGGAGGCCTGCAGCAACAGTAGACCTAGAGTTCAGGTTAGGAGACCTTGAGTCGTTTCGCCTTCAGACGCCTTCAGTTCGTCATATCGTATCTCCCCCCCCCTCCCCCCATTCCCCTCCAACACCTTCAGCGCAGCCCTTGAACTTCCAAGGCGGCTGGCAAGCGGGAGCGGAAGGCCAATAAGCTTCGCAACAGAAAGGCCATCGCGGGGAAGGGAAGGGGTGAGCCCCAAGTGATTCTTGTGACACGTAGAGAGACCTGTGCAGACATTAGTTCATCGTTTCAGTTCAACATCTAGTTGAATCTAGTTGGGCTCTAAAGAACGTACTGGACGGACTCAGAAATGCGATGCTGGAAAGCCTTCTTCTGCTGATCTGCTGTGCCCTGTCAAGACACATGTCAGAACTGCCAGGCCAGAGCAGCTCTCAAGGCCGGGAAAGCAATTGTTCACACATCGGCCCGTGCTTTTCCAGCTTAACACGGGAAATCTGGGGAGGCCAGGGACCGCAGTACCGCAGGCCGTGTTTCAGCACCTCGGCCCTCTCGGCCCCCTCGGCCCTGTCGGCCCTCTCGGCTGTCGCTCCTCACGCTGTTGGAACGGTGTTGATTTTTGTTCGACTCGGTCCCTGAATCGTGTGTCCCGCGCTCTCGTGTGCCCTTTGCCAGCAATTTCGTGTCGGTTGTCCCGAGTCTGTGTGACACATGGCTGCGCCCGGGCTGGTGGCTCCAGTCAGCGTTCCGAACCTCCTATGTGGGCAAGTGCACTCTTGTTTTCGGGGCTTGTGTGCACTGCGTGCGTTAACCTTCAATGGTCGGCTCAAACTGCAAAAAGGCTGGCCTGTCTGCAGCCGTCGCTTGACCGCTAGAATTCGGTTGACAGTCGCAGGACTTTTTCACAACTCGCCAGGAAATCTAACGTGTTTTACCGGCAACGGACACAGACACGTGTTTGTTTCGCACGAAGAAAGAGCGCCCCTTCTGCGCGGTGGGCGGCGCAAAAGGTTTTGTGGAGTCAGGCGCAGGGGTGCTAGGGGTGCCAGGGGTCAGGGCTTGCCTTCGCTGAGTGCAGCCAAAGAGGCCAAATCTGCGCTGGTGCGGCAAGTCAGCGTCACTACCGGCAGCGCCCAGCGACTCGGCAACCCAACCGACAGCTGACTTGCAACACCATCAGGGTAGCCTGCCCGAGCCCAATCCTCAGAGAGGGGCCATTTCGGCGTTTTTAATTACGTTTCTGCAGGCAGGGGCAGGCAAAAGGAACTATTGGTAGGGACATGATTTCAGAAGTTAATCGGCGTGAATGAGCAATTTCTTTTTTCGTGTTTTCCTGACTCTTCTTGTCCCGTGGTCTCAGGGATGGTCGCAGACTCCTGGCCATGGTGGGTGGGGAAGAATGCCGGGACCCCAGCCTGCCCTAGGCCCTAGACCTGCAAGGGACGATGCTGCTCCGTTGCTTGCTGCCAGGCTGCGCGGCGAGCCGAGGCATGGGCCCAAACGCACTGTCATCCTTCTAAAACAGAGCAACTGAGTAACCCCTGAGCAGGGCGAAGGCCGCCGCGACGTACTTCGCATAAACTACATCCTTCAGGCTTCCGGCGTGCCCCCTGGCTTTCAGCAGCTTTGAGCAGTGTAGGTGTTGCGTGGGTGCTACAGTCTTGCTCT